ATCCTGATATGGCATTTGGTTTATTATAAATGTTTAGTATGAAATTTGGCTTCCCACATTCCTGTGGTTAATTTCTAGTTTTATGGCATTGTGATCTGAGAAGATACTCTGTATTATTTCAATGGTTTTTTTAATTTGTTGAGGCTTGCTTTTTGTCCTAATATGTGATCTATTCTGGAGAACATACCTTATGTACTTGAGAAGAAAGTGAAAGTTTTATTTGGGTGCAGTTCCCTGAATACATCCACAAAGTTGAGTTGGCTGATTGTGTAGTTCCAGTCTTCTGCATCTTTGCTGAGTTTCTTTTGGATTGACCTATCCTTTGGTGATAGTGGTGTGTTGAAATCTCCCACCACTATTGTGGTATTGTCTATTTCTTTCTTTTATTCTGTTAACTATTTTTTATGTATTATGCAGGTCTATCATTTGGTACATAAACATTGACCAAGGTTATGTCTCCTCAAGCTATTGTGCCTTTAATTGGTATGGAATGCTCTTCCTTATCTTTTATGGCAGTTTTCATTCTGAAGTCTATTTTGTCAGAGATTAGTACTGCCACTCCTGCTTTTTTGTGGTTGACATTTTCTTGGTATATTTTTTCCCATCCTTTGATTGAGTTTGTCTTTTCCTCCATTTTTCAGATGTGTCTCTTGTAGGCAACATATTGATGGGCTTTATTTTTTTATCCATTCTGTTACTGTTACTCTTCTTCCTTTAATTGACACATTTAGTCTATTCACATTAAGTGTGATTACTGTCAGGCCAGGTTTTACTGTTGCCATTTTGCTGTGTTTCTTTTTCTGTTGTTTCTGATAGTTCATCCACTTTCCTTTGGTGACTCTGTGTGAAGGACTTCGCTTAAAATTTCTTGTAGTTTTGGGCTTGTTTTCACAAACTCCTTAAGTGCCTTCTTTTCTGCAAAAGATCTAATTTCTCCTTCATATTTGATGGAGCTGGGTACAGGATCCATGGTTGACAATTGTTTTCTTTCAACTTTCTGTATATTCCATCCCATTGTCTTCTAGTTAACATGGTTTTTGCTGAAAAATCAGAACTTAATCTAATTGTTTCCCCTTTATAGGTGGCTTTTTAATTTTCTCATACTGCTTTTAGAATTCTATCCTTATCTTTTAATTTGGGGAATTTGACTATGATATGTCTTTATCTTTTTCTTTTTGCGTCTAGTCTATTTGGTCTTTTTTTTATTTTTTTAGTCTATTTGGTCTTAACTGTGCTTCTTTCATGTATATTTTCCCATTCTTAAAAACACCTGGGAAGGTTTTTTTTAGTACTTCTTTCATAATTTTCTCAGTGATTTCCCTGTCACTCCCCTCTTCTGGAATTCCAGTCATACTTATGTTATTCCAATTTATGTTATCCCACATGGTTCTAATGTTTTCTTTATTTTATTTGTGTCTCATATCTGATTTTTCTTCTAATATATTTCCAGTGAACATCTTATCTTCCAACTCACTGACTCTGTTTCATCTCTACAGTTCTATTTTTTTGTGCTACTGGCATGTTGGACACTTCTGACATTTCAGTCTTAATATTCTGGATTGCATTTTCATGCTTTTCTGTTATTTCTAGTACTATGTTGGTGGTACTTTCTTTGTCTTGTGATGATTTTTTTAAGTTCTTGTACTTCTTTATCTATACTACCAATTCTTTCTTCCATCTTTTGCGTTTTCGTCCATAGCTGTTCAAGTTGCTCCTCACCAATATATTTCTTCTGGACTCTTCTCTATGGGATATTTGCTTTCTTAATTGCATCTTTTCCCCTCTTCTTCTGTAGCTGTTCAAATAACACCACATCAACATATTTCTTCTGGTTCTCTCTATCTGAGGTATTCATTGGGTCTGCTTTTTTAGAAGACAAGTTATTTTGTTTTGTCATGATAGAAAGAGAATTGATGCCTTTGAGCTGTGGTGCTGGAGCAGAGTGTTGAATATACCATGGACTGTTAGGAGAACAAACAGGTTTGTTTTGGAGAGCGTGAAGCCAGAATGCTCCTTGGAGTCAAGGATTCTGAAGTTTCATTTGACATACTTTGGGCATGTTGCAAGGAGGGACTGGTCCTTGGAGAAGGACATCATGTTCAGGAGAGTAGAGGGACAGCGCAGGAGAGGAAGACCTTCAATGAGATGGATCGATTCTGTGATTGGGGTGGTGGGAATAAGTGTGTTTGAGAAGGCCAGGTTGGCACAGGTATTTAGGGCTCTTGTACATAAGGTCGCTATGAGTCGCAAGCGACTCGATGGCACATAACAACAACAGCAACATGATAACTGAGGCAGACTGCTGCTTTCTTCATATTATGTGAGTCTTTTCTTAATAGATGTTAAGTTGTTGTAATTATATGGTGACCAAGAGTATGGCAATGTTTTGTGAAGGACCTGTATATTTGTGTCTCCCTGTGGGCCTTTGGCCAAACAGCAGTGATTCCCACACTGTGTTGCTCATGTCTGTAGCATGCCTGTGCTATGCCTCCCACTTAATTTTTATTTTATAGAGGTGCTCTGCTTATTCAGGGGTCTCTTTCCTCTCCAAATAAACTAGATAATTTCCCTTTCGATCTCCTTGAAAATATATATTTGGTATCTGTATTAGGATTGCATTGAACATGTAGATTGCTTTTGGTAGTACTGTCATCTTCACAATATTGATTCTTTTACTCCATGAAGAGGGAACATTTTCCCATTTATTTAGGTCTTTTATTGTATCTCACAGGGATTTCCTAAAGATTAAATCCCTGTGCACATTTTTCAACAGACTGAAAAGAAATCCTATTGACTAAGGAAAAAATATTAGCAATACTACTTCAGACAAGGATCTCATATCAAAAGTTTACAGAATCCTTCAGGACCTCCACAGGAAAAAGACTGATAACACATTACAAAATGGGCAAAAACATGGAAATACTTTTCACAGAGGGAGGTATTCAGATGGCCAACAGACACATAAAGAAATGCTCAAAATCACTGGCAATAAAAGCGATGAAAATCAAAACCACAATGAGATACCATCTTAACCCAGTAGCAATGGCAACATTTAGCAGGACAGCAAGTAATAAATGTTGGGGAGGATGCGGATAGATAGGAACTCTTATACACTGTTGGTGGGATTGAAAAGTAGTACAAACACTTTGGCTGTTGTTGTGTACCCGGCAGGTTTTCAGAGGAAGTTAATCACACGAGAGGAGATTGCCTAGCCTCCTGCAAAGCAGCTGATGGATTCAACCTGCATGCCTTCAGGATTGCAGTGGCATTTCTTCAAAAAGCTAAACATAGAAACTCCATATGACCCAGTTATTCCACTGCTTGGAATATACTGCAAGAAAATTAGAACTGAGGCACAAATGGAGACTTGTACACCAATGTTTATAGCAGCATTATTCATCATTGTAAAAACATGGAAACAGCTCAGATGTCCAAGCCCAAGCAAATGGATTGAGAAATTATGGTACATTCACATGACAGACTACTATGCAGCATGCAATGATTTTTTTGAAAATCACAACCAAACTTGGGAAGTACTCAAGAGCATAATGGTAAGTGAACTAAGTTCCACAAGGACAAAAACTGCATAAGACCATTATTGAAGAAATAAAAAGATAACTATTAAACCATGTATGACAATCCAAGGGGCCGAGGGTAGGAGCAGAGGGGTGAGGATGAGCAGGGGGATAATCATAAGGTCACACAATTTTATGTGTAAATGGAGGGGTGGGTAAAGGAAATGGGAAAAATTCAGTGTGAAAAACAATGTATATGAACTTTATAAGTAAAACAGTATAAAATTTAAAAAAAAGAATATATGAAGAAGACTGTAGTGTCAGAATTGAGAAAGACTCATTATCAGCTTGCATTATGGAGATGACATACCTTGCTCACTGAAAGTGAAAAAGACCTGAAGCACTTAGTGAAGAAGATCAAAGACAACATCCTTCAATAGAGATTACATCTCTGTATCAAAGAACCAGAAATCCTCACCACTGTACCAATAGGCAACGACATGATAGAAGCAGAAAATATTCAAGCTATCAATGACTTCATTTTACTTGGATCCACAATCAACACTCATGGTAGCAGCTATTAAAAAATCAAATGATATGTTGCATTGGGAAAAATCTACTGTCAAGAGCCTGACCAAAATGCTAAAGAGCAAGGATGGCAGTTTGAAGACTAAGGTGTGCCTGATTCAAGTCATAGTATTTTCAATTACTTCCTATTCAACTGAAAGTTGGACAAGGAATAAAGAAGACCAAAGACAAATCGATGCCTTTTGAATTGTGATTGTTGGTAGGGAGTATTGAGGAGACCACAGATTGACAAAAGAACAACAAAGCTATCCTTGGGGAAGTGCCTGTCTCACATACTTTAGGCATGTTTTCATAACGGTCTAATCTCTAGAAGAAAGACATCATCCTGAGAAAGGTGGAGGGTTAGCAAAAGAGAGGAAAACCATCAGCTAGAAGGACTGACACAGTCACCGTAACAATGAGGTCAAGCATGTGGGAGATCATGAGAATAGGGCAAGGGGCACACATCTGTTGTTCTTACGGTCGCCATGAGTCATAGTGGACTCGACACAACAACAACAAATAAAGCTCAGGGCTTGGACATAGGAGATGACTAAATTTGTCGCTCTAAGATAGAATGAACACAGGATACCCTGAGAGAAATAGTTTTTCTCCAATTCCTTGTTCTCCTCTGACCACATAGACACACTCATTTTAGATACACGACTTCAATCTCTAGCTTTGTTAATGTTTCGAAGTACTTAATCAGATACTGGTTACATATAGTCATGGCAAGTCAACTTGAAAAGACACCAAAATGGGCAGAATAACAAGGGCATGAAAGACGTACAAATAAGTCTCAGAAGCCCTTCCATCCTCGACTCAAGCCGACAGTAGCTTGCTCATGAACTACAACTCCCACAAGGCAACGGGAAGCGACCCGAAGTTTCCGGCTAGATCTTACTTCCGGTCTTTTGGATGCTGACGCTCTTTTCCGGTCTTGGTGGCACCCGAAAGGATTTTGGGATGCTCGAGGTGAGCTCTATGGGGGTCTGTTCGTAGGGTGCAGAGTCGTGTGTTCTGGATCATCTAGCGCCTTGCGGCTGGGTGTTAGCTTGAGGAAGGCTAGTAGAAGAGGGGCGCCCCGACGTGTGTCATGTAACCTTGACAAGGAGGAGAGGGGCTAGAGCTAGCTGAGCCACTCCACTCCTTACCTGGGAAACACAGAAAAAGGCTTGGGAACTAGGACGAATGAGATTCCATGGTTCACCCTGGAATGGGTTCACCCTGGAATGGGTGAAAAGCGGGCGCAGTTGGATTCCACTGGAGCCGGGCTGAGGGAAAATTGCAGCGGGACTGCAGGCGCCCGGGAGACTGCTTGGTGTAAGGGAAAGTGTAGAAGTTGTTGCAGGTCTAGGATTGGCTGGAATCAGGATTCCCTGGCTCCTGACAGTAAAAGAGCAGTAGATATATTCTAGTGCTTAGACACGTTGATCACCAGCTGCCAGCAGAGAGGAGCGTTTTGGAAATGATCCAACTCTGATACTGTATAGACCGCTGCTGCTACTGCTGCTGCTTTGACAGTATCAAAAGAGCTCTAGGACTTTATAAAGGAGACCTGTCAGGAGGATCTGGACATTGCTTACATTCTTGGATTAATTACTCTCTTTCTCTTTTTCTCCCAAAGATGAGGTGGCTGGCATTTTTGGTGTTTGCTCTGTTTACTGTCACCCAAGCAGAGGAAGGGGCCAGACTTTTGGCCTCTAAATCACTGCTGAACAGATATGCTGTGGAGGGGCGAGACTTGACCTTACAGTACAATATCTATAATGTTGGCTCAAGGTAAGGAACTGAGAGCTTGGAGCTGCTGTTTTGGATTCTTTTGGGCTGTGTTACGGATTCTCAGATATACCAGCTGAGAAAGGTGGTGAGATTTCTCTTTCAGAGATCTCCAGTATCAGATATCATGAAAAAGTTAATTTTGAAATAATAGAATATTCTACTTTTTGGGGTGGAAGTGTTTCAGAAATGGGTAGAAATACAAACTCTGAAATCATAGGAGGAGATGTGTAAAAAGAAGATGAGATGTGAGATACACCCACTTATCAACATGGTTAGGTTTCAAAGATCAAGTCTTTATGTGAAAATAATTGTTATGCAAAAATAGAAGATGATAGCATCCCTATATAACTTCTAGATTACATCATTACATAATAATTGTCAAATCATTGAAAACATGACCCAGCCTTGTACCTGCATAACCTTAACCATCACTCACCTCATCCCTCAAGCATTCATACATCATTAATGTCCACAGTTGTTGAACAGATTTTGTACTATTGCCATGAATATGAAATGTCAGGAAACAAGATAAATAAGGTGCAAAAGTTTAAAGTTTTAGCCTCCTTTTCAAAGGAGAAATGTGACTCTTTTTGTTGCCTTTTATTTTCTTTAATTTCTCTTTTATATACATCTTGCTCCTTTCCCCCCTCTTTTCTACACATATACATAAGGAGAAATTAAGGTGAGACTAGATTTGCACCCATTTCTTCCTAGAGTCTCAAGTATTTTTGTGTTTCTGAGCCATAGAATCTAATCTTGGACCTGAATTCTTCAATGCAATAAGCCCATTATGTAACTGATAGCTGTATTCTACAGTTCTATTTCAGGATAATGGGGTAGATTTAAATGTCACTTGTTTTGATTTTATTTCCTTTCCTTATTAACCCTCATTGTTTCCTCTTTTTTTTCTAGTGCTGCATTAGATGTAGAATTATCTGATGATTCTTTCCCTCCAGAAGACTTCGGCATTGTCTCTGGAATGCTCAATGTCAAATGGGACCGAATTGCCCCGTATCCTCTTGGCACTGGGTTATGAAGGCTGGTGGCAGGGAGGGAAGGTTGCCAGCAGACAGGGTGGGCAGTGCCGTTCTCCTGCCATCTCTTTGGAAAGGATGCGGCAAGAGAGACTGGTGCATGGTTTAGGGTAGAGCTGAGGAAGGAGGTTTTTGAAGTTCAGGTTATAAAGCCCTGAAGCATAGAGGGAGGATGCAGACTCTTATAAAAATGTTTTATAGCCAGACAGGAATATTAGGTGCTTTTAAAAGAAATTTATTTGGATGCTGGCATGGACCTGGCATTAAAACTTGCTTTCATTCAATGAGTCTCTTGTTCCAGCCTATCACTTATTTTCTATGTAGTTTGAATTATTTTTTTTTCTTGTGAATGAAATATATATATAAATTTTCCAGAATATGTAAGTGATCTCTTTGTTTTATGTTTTTGTAGTTTTAAGAACTTTTTTCAATTATGTTATTGTTGTGTACTGTAGAGTCAGAACCAACCCATAGCTCATCTTCTGCTGGGTTTTCAGAGGCAGTTAATCACAGGAGGAGAAATTGCCCATCCTTCTCCCATGGAGCAGCTGGTGGCTTCAAACTGTGTGCCTTTGGGATTGCAGCATAGATTCTTGCCCCTCGGCACCAGAGCTCCCTTCCTTCAGTTATAGACAATGAAAAGTTTTGTGTGTGTTGCAAGGGAGGGGTAAGTTATTTTAATTTTTCATCTGTAACATATTGCTTTGAAAAGTTACTTCAGAAACCTTAATATTGATTACATCATCCAAACTAAACCTACCAACATTGATTCCAGCCCATGGAATCATGGAAACACTGGATTTCCAAGGCTGTAATTTTTTTTAAAAAAAATTGATTCATTGTTGCCCATTTTCTTCCCTCCCTACCTCCCCCTTCCACTAGTCTACTTTGCAGTGCACTTCTTGTTCCAGATTGTTGTCATACATATAATACCTAATTCCTTTCAGAACATACTAAACGCAAGGAACTGGCCCCATCTTTGTCCTGTGAAGAAGCTGCTGGTTTGTAACTGCCATGTTTTGATTTAGCAGCCCAGTGCTTTACCTACTGTGCCACCAGCTCTTCTGAATACATCTTAGACCCACTATGATACTGATAGATGCCATCAAGTCAACCAGCACTCAGAGAGACCCTGTGAATATCAGCTCTGACCTTTGCCCTGTGCTGTGCTATCCTCATGACCTCTGACCTGTCAGAGGTCACTGTCAGTTCATCTTGTTGGAGGTCTTTTTCTCCTTCACTCATCCTCTCCCTTTCCCAGCATGATGTCTCTTCAGGGACTGGTTCCTACTAAAAATATGCCAAAAATAAGTTACTAGAAAAACATTCTACATTATTTTCAAGTTTTAGAAACTTTTTAAAAAGAGTATTAAGAGTATGAAAACACTATTATGTCAAAACACCCCAAATGTATACATAATAGATTTTTATGTCCATCATAGATATTTTCATAAATTTTGAGGTACTAGTACAATTTTTTTGCAGTTTTAATATTTTAAGCTAATAAATGTGGCAAATGATAAGTTTTACATCTGTTCAAAATACAGATATTTAAACAAACAAAAAAAAACACTATATGTGTTGGCAACTGTTTTTTGAATGGTGCACTTAGTCCACAAATTGAAAGGTGGGTTGTAAAAATTTTGGCTTCATCATTGTCCTTAACTCTTGGCCCAGTGCCAGCAACGTCTCACACACCGTGGTCCTGCGTCCTCTGAAGGCTGGCTACTTCAACTTTACTTCAGCAACCATTACCTACCTGGCCCAGGAAGATGGACCTGTTGTGGTGAGTTTCCTTATATCTTAGCTACATGAGGTTCAAGTCTCAAATTCGCCGACCCAACCCAATTTTACTATGTTTTTCCTTGAAAACATGTAGAAAATTTCCACAGCAGCTACTGAAATTTTAGGAAGATAAGATTGAACCAGAACCTAGGGAAGGAAGAAGGTGACTTTAAAGCTATAAAGTACCAGGATAGAGCATTTGTGCTGGATGAAAGAGAACCTATTTATCTCTTTGTCTTTCAGTCTGGAATATGGCATTTGTTGCATCTTCATGCCGTTGCCAGCTTATTCCCAGTCCCTGCTGTGACCCGTGCCTTCCCTTTGCTGGGACAGTTCTGCTGACCACTTGGAGGCGAGCTTTTTTGCCTGCTAGTGCACACCTGTAGTCCAGCTGTCTGCTGCCTCTCCAGCTTTCTCTCCCACCCTGTCCACACAGATCCTCCTAAGTGAGCCAAGCTCCTTGTTATTCCCCTTCCTGCTCTTAGTGCCTGTTCTTTGCTCTTTGTTCTTTATTTGAGCACTCTCCACTTCATTATCCAAAGCCTTCCCAAGACCCAGACTTGAGCTGCATCTCCCTGGTTGTAGCTTCTGCTTCTTAGAATCGTGTTGCTGCTTTCTGTTCATTCTCAGTAAAATGCGCTGACTGCGTCTGCCCTTCTGTGACACAAGGTGTGGCACTTAAGCATCCAATTACTCTCTGCCTTCAGTCCTTCCTTATATGTAAATATTCGTTCCACAGTTTAATTTTTTTTTTTTTAATTTTATTATTTGTGTATACCGTCAAATCAGATCTGACTGGTACAGGAGGAGATTGTCCCTCCTTCCCCGGCAGAGCATCTGGTGGATTCGAACTGTGCGCCTCTGGGATTGTGACAGTTTAATTTTAAATACCTTGAAGCCATGGACTTTTTTTCAGATTTTTCTTTCCCAAATTTCTATATGTATAATAGAAGCTCAGTAGTACAGTCTCTTGTTGATTCATCAATGAAGTGGTCTGAATACATTTATTAAGCCCATAGAGTGCTTGATTTTGGAAAAATAGCAAGAAGATTAAGACACTGCCTCATCTCATCCTTAAAAAGCTTAGGGCTTGAGTATAAAGACCCTGACAAGCCCACACTAATGAACTTTAGGCTACTTAGTGAGGGCACTTTGGGAAAGGGATGTAACAGCCAGCCATAGAACTAAAAGAAATCAAGAGATTTCCCAACACTCAGTGAAGCTTCTAAATTATATACATTTTCTTTCATGACTCACAGGGACTCATTACCTCTCAGTTATGATTTTCATCATGTGTCATTTTTCCTGTCAGAACCAATCTTAGAATTCTTTGGTTTTCACTGGCACTTGATGAGTTAATATATAATGAAATCAAAGGCTAAGTTATATAGTCTTAGAACAAATTTGTTTGCAGTGTGCTTCAAACTTGGCCTCATCTCCAAGACAAAGGACTGTGGGCCAGATTCTGACCCTTCTCTAGTAATGTACTTTTGGGTAGGGCTTTAAACTTCTCAGAGTCCTTCTCATTATTTAAGTCTCATGTCAGTCCTGGGAGGTATATTTTTACCTAAGGAACGAGGAAATGGTTGCCAGGGCCAAGTCATTCCATTATATTACACGGCTGACCTTTGCTAAGGGGCCCGTGCAGTGGTGGTGAGCAACCTCACTTTTTTTTTCCTGTTGTGCACCGTCAGATCAGATCCAACAGGCATAGGAGGAGATTGCCCCTCCTCTTCAGCGGAGCATCTGGTGGGTTTGAACCATACTCCTTGGGGATTGCAGTGCAGCTTCTTGCACAACTTCACTTTTTGCAGAGTGACTTGCACAACTTCACTTTTTGCAGAGTGGCTCAGATGGAAGAATTTAGCTTTCAGTTTAGCTTAGTACCGGACCTATCCTATTTAATAAATGCTCATCATATGGTGTTTTCCCCGAAGTAACTCTGGCCTTTGCTCTTGTCTCCTCTTTACAATACACTAAAAGAGAGCTGTCTACTTGTCCTAGTTCAGAAGCTTTTTCATCTTCGTAAAGCTCTCTTTGGCCTTTAGGAGTTAAAAATATAATGCTTAGAATTGAGTTTGTTGACTGAAACTTTGGTTTCTTGAATGGAAAGAATTTGTGACTTCCTATCATGCCCTTCCTTTGTTTCTTTTCAGATTGGCTTCACCAGTGCACCTGGCCAGGGAGGAATTCTAGCTCAGCGGGAGTTTGATAGGCGGTTCTCCCCCCATTTTGTAAGTTTTGCAATGTGCACTCTTAACATTCTCCTGGTATGAGAACACCCTTTTGGTTCTGGGATCTCTTGGCTTCCTTAGAAGATTTGTGGAGTGGTTTTTGTTTTGTTTCTTTTTCTCAGTGTCTGATAAAGACAGCCATTAAGTATCTTGACTTAACTATGCCTGGTATTCTCGGCAATAAAATAATCATGGCTAGAAGCATTGAGCTTGCTTCTTCTCTGCCTTGAGTAAAAGGTCATCTTAGAGTTTAGAGTCTATATTGAGAGTTCTTTGTTTTTAAAAAAGATACCTGATTAGATTCAAAAGGTGATAAAGCATGGGTGAGGCTAAATGTTAATTTGATGTGATTCTGTAAGGGGATTTATTCAGTCATTCCATGAATAATTACAACATCTCAGCCATTAAAGATGTTATGATTTAGAGGACCCAGAACAAGGAGATGGGGGAAATGTTGTGATAGAGGTTTTATTTGAAGTGCTGGAGGAGGATGTAGCAAGAACATCTAACCTGGTCTTCAAGATCCAGCAAGGGTTTTCTGGAGGAAATAAAACCTAACTGGTCAAAGGGGGAGAAAGAGTGAGGGAGGGAGGGAGGGACAGAGAGAGAGAGAGTGTGTGTGTGTGTTTGTAGAGTGGCAGGTATTCTTTTTTTATTTTTTTTATTTTATTATTTTTTTTGGGTGAGTGTACCGTCAAATCAGATCTGACTGGTACAGGAGGAGATTGTCCCTCCTTTCCCCGGCAGAGCATCTGGTGGATTCGAACCGTGCGCCTCTGGGATTGTAGTTGCAGCTCCTTGCCACTTGGCCACCAGAGCTCCCCTAGTGGCAGGTATTCTATGAAGAAGCTCTGAGGTGAGAGAGAAGAGCATTGCAAAGTCCAGAAGTGACGAGTCATATAGCAATGCTAGAGGGTACCATGTGAGGCAGAGGAATAGAATATGATATGGACAAGGGAGGTTAGAAGTATAAGTGAGATTAGATCACAAGGGGCCTGGCCGTCAGTGGCAGAGAGTGACTAGAAATTTGTTTGGAAGAGAGAAGCTTCCCATCCAGCCTGGGTTAGGTCAGATGAGGGCTTTGGCTTCATAGCTCAAAAGATAGACAGACCTTTAGAGTGGTGTTCTGCATTAGGCATGGTCAGAGAGGAACCTCCCTGCCAAAGTTCTACCCTAGGGTTGGGCTAGACGACTCCCTATCTCACTGGGAGTATCCCTTTTGCCTTCCCCATGTCCAGACTTCTAAGCAAGTCTTTTCTTCTCTACAGCTGGATTGGGCCGCCTTTGGGGTCATGACCCTTCCCTCCATTGGCATCCCCCTACTGCTGTGGTACTCCAGCAAGAGGAAATACGACACTCCCAAAACCAAGAAGAACTGAATAGGGGCTTCCATGGTCCTCCCCTACCAATAAATCGAGGTGCTTTCCAGACTCCAAAGGGTATTGCAAATGCAATTTCTTCTCCCTTCACCCGCGGCCACCTTCTGGATCCTGCTCTGCACTCAGCTAGAGTGAAGGAACGGCCTAGGAGTCTGAGAGCCTCCTCGGTTTCATCCTGAAGCCATACAAACAGCTACAGCCTGAGCCTAGAAGGCGCTCTAGTGCCCCACTGAAGGGCTGGAGGGTGTATTATTGGCAGTGTGAACTCTCAGGGGTCCAGGAGGAGGTACTTCAGAGACTGCCTGACACCACCTTCACCCACTCCCTGCCTGTCTGAAGAGAGTAGAAGATGAAAGAAAAGCTATGGGGCTCTTGGAGGCTAATCTGTTCTGGATTAGAGAAGTGCTTACCAATTGAGATTTTCTAATAAAATGAAAAAACAAATGCCACGCTGACTTGTCATTCACTCCCTCCCCCCATCACCTGAGTGAGTAGAAGCTGCTGTTGGAGTTCCCGCTCCTGGGTGAAGGCATCTGTGCTAAATGGGTTGTGGGTCTTAGGGCTTCTAACCAGTTCAGCCCAGTCAGCCATGGCTTATGAAGCAACATCTGTATGGACCAGAATTTTTAAAATGCTGGTGAACAGGAATGGGGACAATTTTCTCTCTTTCTTAGAAAACAAGGACACAAATAAGCACAATGCTTAGCAACCCTATCTCTTGACCAGCTGAGGATAGCAGCCTGCCATGCTGCTTTGAATGCATGTCTGTCCATAGTCCAATGTCAAGCTTCTGAGAGGGTTCATGATGCCTCTTCAAATTCCAGGGCTTTGACCTATAATATTTCCTATTTCAGATCTAAAATTTGGTTTGCTTTTGCCTCAGTTGCCACAACTGAACCAGTTCAACCCAAGGAGACAATCACCGCCTTTTTAATGCTTTTGCTTGCCTCTTCTTGTCACCCTTAAGGTATTTTCCCCAGGCCTTCCCTGCCTAAGCACATGTCCACTCCTAGAGAAGAGAGTGAAGAAAGATGGCCTGATCCTCTTACTTGGGAGGCATTCTGGTTTTTTATTGAGAGAAAACTGTCTCTTAAGCCTAATTCTAGCCCTATCCCTTTTATTTCCTTTTTAACAGCTTTTTTTAGGGATAATTTGCACACCATAAGTTCTCCCATTTCAAGTGCTCAGTTGAATAATCTTGTAGTAAATTTACAGATCTGGAAATACCACATTTCAGCTTTAGAGCATTTCTTTCACCAGAAAATACTTGATCCCATTTTGTATTCATTTTGAATTCTCACCATTAAGGCCTCCATCTCCATGTAACCACTGCTCTGCTTTATTTTCTTAAATCTATATTTGTTTTATTATTTTTATTTTGAGGGAAAGGTTACTAGTCTTGCAGTTTTTCATTTGGTCATAGCACATTTTGTTTTAGAACATTAATTGCAATTGATAAGAGTACAATGTTTAATCAACTCCTGTATAATCCTTTCCCTTCACCCAACTTACCAATTTGTACTTCTCTCCTTTCTTATCCCTAGTAGACACAAAGTTGGTTCCTTATCACCTTCAATTTCTTTCTTTTTTAAAAAAATTAATGAAAGTTTACAGACTTAGGATTTCCATTCATTCATTGTTGCACTTTTTTCCCTGGCCACCCAATTTGCTCTTCTTTTTTAAAAGTAAAAGAAAATTTTTTTTCATTGTTTTATAATCCCTCCCCCAACAAATGAATGGATAGAGAAACTGGTATATTCACACAATGGAATACAACGCTGCATTGAAAAATAAGGAACTCATGAAATATACAAAACGGTGACCCTGAAGGACATTATGCTGAGTGAAATATCTCAGTCACAAAAGGACAAATATTGCATAGTGCCACTGTTGTAAAATGGGACTGACATCAGGGTTGGGGGGAGACGGAGAAAGATGGGATAATTTATGTATACTGCATTGAAACAGAGGAGGGAGAGAACTGTTTAAAAGGGATATATGATTAGGTATTATTGCCATGAAGGAGTTCAGAATAAAGGCTGCACAGTGTAGTGGACTTGCAGGGAGGGATTGTATAACAATGAAAGAATTTTTCTTCAATTTCTTTTTAATGTCTCTGTGTTGGGCTCAGGCCAGGCAGAGGGGCCTGCACCCCTGAGTTGGGCCGTGAGTGTTGCCTGTGGCTCTACTTTCGCTGTATCGGCAGTGGAGACAACCACGCTGAGCTGACTCTGTCGAACCCAGGAATGCCGTGGTCCGGGAACAGCCTCCCAGGCAGGAGGAAAACCCAACAAACACCCCCTTTGTTTCTGCCACCATGTTACCAAGTTTAGATTCTGCTCCCCCATCTTCCCCTGCCTGACCGGTTTAACCTTTCCTCACCCGGCAGGGAGAGCTCCTGGGACCCAGGAAGGATGAAGAGGACATGGAGACAACGGGAGGCTCCAAACGGAGTCGCCCTCTGCCAGCTCTCCTCCCTCTTTCAGAGCCTGCAACTCGGACAGCCCAAGAGTGGCCAGGTCAGAAAGCAACAAGGATGTATTTGTTTTTGTTCACTGTAGCGTTGATGGAAACCTGGGACATGTTTAAGAGGAAGAAGTAAAAGGGGCAATTGATCAAAAGCTTGGAATTGAGAAAAAAATGTAGCGAAAAAGTTAGTGTGGTGGGGTGTGGATGAGGCAAAGGTGGCATTATCTTATTCTCTAACCCAAACTCAACCCATTGCTTTTGAGTTGACTCTGCCTCCTAGTGACCCTGTGGAATAGAGAGAGTTGCCTCCGTAGGTTTTCCATGGTTGTGATTCTTAAACCTGTAGAGTGGCTGGTGAGTTTGAACCATTGACTTTCCAGTTAGAGGCTGAGCATTTAACCCCTGCACCACCAGATCTCCTTTCTTGAACTCTAGGATTTTGACATGAACAAACAAGTCTCGGAGGAGTGCAGCCAGGGGCCTCCTGAGAGGCAAGGATGGTAAAACTTCTCACAGATTTGTTTTTTTAAAATTGTATTTTATATTGGCTTGCTTACAAAGTTCTCACGCATTGTTTCACATTATCTTTCCTTCTCACATACATTTGGACATGTTGTCAGGAATTGCCAGTCCTTTAGGGAAAGGACATCGTGCTAAGAAAGGTGGAAGTTCAGAGAAAGAGGAGCATCCTCAATGAGATGGACAAGGACTGGGAGTGTGGGCTCCAGCATGTGGGAGATTGTGAGGATGGCGCAGGATAGGGTACATTTCAGATCTTTTGTTTATAAGTTTGCTACGAGTCATACATAGTAGCACCTAACAACAACAACCACAGAAGCTAGCCAGAGAAATTAGCTGGAATAGGTAGCTTTAAATTGAGCTCTCTTCTTGAGGAGATTACTTGAATGGGGGATTCAGGGCAGACATCATTCGATGACACAACAAATCTTTACTGAAGCAGACTGATGCATCATTCTTCTGTGCAGCTCCTGGTGGTTTTGAACCATCAACCTTTTGTGCTTTAACTATTACACCACCAGAGTTCCCTCAAATACACCTTGAAGGGAAGGTCAAAGTTGGGTTTGAACTTTCCTTAAAGAGTGGCATTTGAGACGATAAGAGTTTCTGAAAGCTTGAGCATGTCGGATACCCTGAGGATGGTGCAGGATAGGGCATGGTTCCCATCTGTTGTTCACAGGGTTGCTGATTCATCATAGACTCAAAGGCCCCAACAATGACAACCAAAGCTGTGGACAGAGACCAGCTGCAATAGTTGAGCTCTCTTAACTTCTCGAGTTTACTTGAGTTTCTTGAAAGGGGGATGAGGAGCAGACATTAATTCTTCACTCTAATTGAGAGCCATTCTAGAGAGATATGAGTCTGAACTCAGGACTGGGTGCAGGTCCACAAGAAGAGAGGAAAGTAAACCTCTGCTTTTGCAGAGGTATTCTTCCCTGAAAGGCAATACTGACAGAACCCTGGTGCCAACATGTTTCAGCCGTTCCACCCCTAAAAACCAGCCCCTTTACCTTCCTACCCCATCCAAACTTTAAGCGGACATATCTCCTCAGCCACACACCCAGCCCCCAACTAGGAAGAGTCTGGTACCTGTACATCCATACCTTTATTTAAGAGGTTTGGGGAAGCAATCTGAAAAAAAGCTGGGAGTGGTGGAGCAATTTGGTGCAAGGACAGAATCATCAAGACTTCATCCCCATAGAGGGTAGCTCAGGATAGTGGAAACAGCAGTGATCGCTCAAGTAAATCACTCTCTCCTCTGAAACCATTTCCTCATTTGGACAATGATAATATTTAATTAGAGTCCCGATATGTAGCATCATGATAGATGGAGAAAAGATAAAATTGTCAACGATTTAATCTTGCTTTCACCTACATTCAATGCTGTTGGTACCAGTAGTAAAGAAACAAAAAGACGTGTTGCATTGGGAAAACTTGCTGTAAAGGAACTCTCCAAAGTACTGGAGAGAAGATGTCAGTTTGGTTTTGTTTTCTTTTACTTGATATTTTAATGAAACTTTACCGGAAACTTGGATTTCCATACATTCACTGTTGCACATTTTCCTCTCTACTCCCCTCCCCCCCAGTTCGCTTTTCTCTTTAAAAAAGTTCATTCAAAAGTTCATTCATTGTTGTATAATTTCCTCCCTCCCCAGTATACTTTGCTATGCATCTCCTATTCTGGACTATTGTCATGCAAATAATACCTAATCACATATGATGTCAGTTTGAAGACTAAGGTGTGCCTGATTGAAGCCATAGACTTTTCAGTCACTTGGTATGTGTCTGAGAGCTGGACAGTGAATAAGGATGACAGAAGAAGAATCAATGATTTGAGTTGTGATGTTGGAAAAGAGTACTGTCTCCTTGACTGCAAAAGAGTCGATATATCTTAAAAAAAGTACAACCAGAGTGCGTCTTAGAGGCAAGGATGGTGAAGCTTCATCTTACATACTTTGGGTAGGTTATTAGGAGAGGCTAATTCTTAGGAAGGGACATCATGCCTGGACAGG